TTAGTTATACCATCTTTCTCAAAATTTGGCTCTATTTAAAGATATTATATCTGTTTTATAATTTAACAATGGCCAATATAATAAAAATTTAAGTTTTTAATATAATAATCTTGTCTGCTATTGAATTAGTTTTCTATATGAATACTATTTTAATTACTTCATTATATCTTAAATCTTCTATGTGAATTTTTCTTGATATATTATATTATATAATTAGAAGATTACAAAAAGAAAATTCAAAATATCAAGAAAAAATTTATATTTAGAATATATTTTTTATATAAAAATAATTAATTTTTATATATTTATTCAAAATATAAATATAATATTTTTATTAAAAAATTTTAACTAATAATCTTTTTGATTTTTTTAATAGTATATATAAATTATAAAAAAATATTAAATTATTTAATAAAATAATTTAAAGTATTATATTATAAAAATGAAATTTTATTTATCATTAAATTCTGAAATTTTTTGAATAACTATTTTATAATTTGATCTTAATTTAATAAAAAATCTCTAAATTATTATTAAGAAAAGAATAAAATAAGTTAATAAAATAAAAAAATATTAATATTAATTATTAAGATAAATTAATAAAAAAGAATAAGAAAGTATTTTTATAAATTTATATCTTAGCTTAATAAATAATAAAAAAATTAATTATTAATATATATAATATATTTTTTTATATATAAATATTTGATTTATACTTTTATAAAGTTATAAGATAAAAAAATAAAATTTATTAAATTTATAATTATAATAATAATTCTTATTATTTATAACAATTAATATATATTGCTCTTAAATTTGTTTATTAAATTATAAGAAATTTTTTGATAAAAATTTAATTAAAATTATTTGACAATTTTTTTATATATAAAATATATATGAAATTTTTCTAATTATTTTTCTTAATTTTTTTAATATAAAAAATTAATTTAAAAAAATATTAATATTATTTAATAAATGATCTTTAACTTTTTATAAATATTATTTAGATTATTTGAGTAATTTTCAAACTCTCATTTTTGAATTTCAAAATATGTTATATTATTAGAAATTTAATATTTGATTAATTAAAATCAAAAAATTTATATAAAGTCATAAAGATTTAAAAATTTTTTAATTTTGATAAGCATTATAAACAAATAATGGTAAATTGTAAATTTGAATCAATAAATTTGTTTCCTAAAAAACAAGACCAATAAAAATATATAATTAAATATAGTTAAATTAATAAAACAAGAAAAAAAATTAAGAAATCTTTTTATTCATTTAAAGATTGGTGGTCTGTTTGACTGATTACGTTTTAATCGTATATATAACCAATCTATGGCTTCTCTCACTCCATCCCTATAAAATCGATTTATAATGCATAATTATATAAAGCATTCTAACCGATTATTTTACACTAAAAATCTATATTTACCCTTCTAATGCTGATATGGTTAAAATCCGTGAATCTCTCGCACCTAATTTCATAGAAATCTTATTGAAAATCTCTCTCACTTCCTCTACTTTGAGTGAATTAGGTAAATCTTGTTTGTTTACTAGCATTAAAATTGGAATTCCTTCTAACATTTCATTTGTGATTATCCTTTCTTTGAAGACAAAGAGAAGAGACAATATTTAAAAAAAAAAACTAACAACTTAGTTAAATTGCATTAATTATATTAATTATTGTTTACCAAAGGCTTGTTTACACTCCTCAATTCTTTCTTTGTCAGTCGAATCAAGAACAAATACAATCCCATGACATTCTGCATAATATTTTTCCCAGAGACTACGAAGCTCGGTTTGACCACCTAAATCCCAGAAAATAAGTCGTGCACGATTCAAGTCAATTTTGCCAACTTCATTATAAAGTGGTGAAGATCAAAAAGTTACTAAAGAAAACTAAAAATATTAAAATTTCAATTCGAGGAATAAATAAAGGGCATACTATTTAATCCCACCGTTTGAGTAATCTTATCCGGCGACAAACCAACTACACCGTTGAATATTGATTTGATTCGTTCTAATAATGTCTTTATTTGTAAATTATTAACGAGGAAGCATTAATAAATGGTCCCAAAATTATGAATTTATTTTACCGTTTTCCCAGCTTTGTCCAGCCCTAGCATTAAAATGTAAAACTCTTCTTTTCTTGTTAGGTACTCATGCAGACCACTGAACAGCGTATACATGACTAGAAATCAAGTAAATTAATTTATTTATAATGAAAAAAAAACTCAAAAAGACCAAAAGAAATAGTTATCACAGTTAAAACTCAACCTTCTTGTCTTTATTTCATGTCAGTCAGATTTACTTTGCAATGTAGTTAATTATGCCGATCTATCAATTTATTTCCATATGCACCAATCAAGTCACCTGAGTGAGCAACACAAATTTTGATTCGCGACATGTAGATCAAGCAAAAATTGATACGAAAACCAACGTGATTTCAAAGTTAATTTTTTATTCGAGCTTTTTGTATTAATATGAAATTCTTGAATCGTAAAGGTTAGTTCTTTGTTCTAGTGTTTTTGGTACAGGGATTAATGAGAGCGATCGAATGAAACACTAAAAGATTAGGAATGATGTGATCGTATTAAAAATAAGTAATAATATTAGAATATTAAATAAAAATACTAATGAGAATGATAATAGTGGGATTAATAAAATATGAATATAAATATGCAAATTTGTAAAGTCCTTTGGGAATTTTCTATTACGCTGCGAAAGCATAAAAATGACGAAACAAAGAGATTTAATAAATAAATTAAGTAATAAATAGAGCCAAATTTTGAGAAAGATGGTATAACTAATGAATAAAACCGCCACTGGTTCCAACCGTTAAATAACCTCCTTTCCCACTTAAATCAAGTTTCTCTAGGAGTGTATGATATAAAAATTTGTATGCCCAAATATTTCCTTTCAACCTTTTAAGGTCGACTATATAAAGCTCAGGAAGATTCTTGATTTTGCACAATTCAACCGAGAAACGAATCTCTTCACCTGAATCTACTGTTGGATCCCCATACAATATTTCAGGGGTTGTAATTATCGAATTTGAATAATTGTTTGAAGTATTTTCAGGGGTAGTGATTGTCATGGTTGGACCGAATTGAGGACTAGAAGGAGAGTTGGGACTAGCAAGATTGCTGTTATTGCTAACAATTGCAGGAACTGGCATATTCAAAGCAAGAGGTTCTTCATTAATATGTGTAGTTAAGAAAGTCGGTGATGCTGAAGGGGTTGATTTTTTCTTGTAATTTCTTGGCGGTGAAGATGCAGTGGATGATACAGAATTTGATAATTGACTATTGTTGGAACTCGCTCTACGTAATAATGTCTTAAAAGGACCTGGAGAGTATTTTCGTTTCTTCTTATCCGAACCTTCAATATTATTTTCCAAAATGGGAAGAGTATCCTTTTCTTTATCTTTACTTTTACCATTTTCTTTTGTCGGTTGGATGACCTTGCGTTTTCTTCGAACACATCTGACCTTGAATTCTCCTTCACGTTTAATTTCTATCCCCATACTAACAAGGGTTTGTTTAACTACAATGAATACCTCGTAAGGTGGCCGTGAAGTTAAAGCTGACTGATCGACAGCACCATGATGTACCCGTAGTTTTGATTCGACGTTAGCAAGCGAGTTAGTGGTATTAGAAAATGAGGAAGCACGTGAAGTATTTAATGGGTCAGAAACTATAACAGTTGGAGGTTTTGACTTGTTAATTTTTGATCTAGAAGTTCCATTTGGAATGGCCTCTTGTTGTAATTTAGGCATTTTAGCAGGAGTTGGGAGAATAGGACCATCATGACTTTTCGCTTTTAATATAAAAATAAATGCGATGATATATTAATTCAAATTCATGTATATATAAAATCTTTTGATTTGGAGTGAATGCTTTTTAAGCTGCTACTGAACTCTATTGTTATGGAATCGGCCAAGTGATATTAATGAGCTATATATGATGCAATATGAATGTAACTTAACTTACCCAAAGATTTTCTTCTAAACCAATCCATGACTTTTTTCGCGGCATTTGAACTGCCGCTAGTTGTAGAACCACTGATCGTTTTTCTCTTCTCCTTTATTGTAGTGCCTTGATTAGCGTGCGTTGCTGCCGACTGCGTCAATGGAAGTTTTAATGAATCCACCATCAAGCTAAAAGCTTTTCTTTTGCCACCTCTCGAAGGTCGCTCGTTGGGAACATTAACTTCCTCAACCAGACTCGTATCTGAACCGCTGTCGATTGGCATATCTTGTGTCATCGAAGATGATTGCAATGTAAGTGGTTTCTCCTGTAACGCGTTTACAGGTTTAGATGTTGTCTTTGCATTTATTTGATTCTTATTTTTGTTCGTGATGCCGTTGAATACCGCTTCTTGTGAAGATCCTTTTTTATACGAATTTTTGTGTGCAGCTGTTGGCGGCGGTGGAATAGTTGGGAGATGTAATATATTGGAAGGTGTTAATGAATCGTGAATACTGGGAACGGGCGGGATTGGTGATGATGATGAAGGGGCGACTTTGGGTGATGGGTTTTGTGTTTTATAATTTGACAGAAAATCGGGATTGCCAGAAGGAGGACCATGAACTGTAACAGGTCTGGTACGTGGAGCATCACGCTTTTTGGGTGTTTGTGAAGAACTGCTTTTCTGTTCATCCGATTGAACTTCTTGATTTGAATTTTGGTGATACTCATTAAGAGGCGATAATATATGTCCGTTGGTAGTGTGATTATTGTTCTCGGGGTTGCTATTATGTTGTTGTTCACCTTCAAATAAAGTAAAAAGTCCGGATCCATTACCAGTAGAACTTTTTCCGATAGTTTCCGGAGGCGTACTACCAGTATCACTACTTACAGAGGTAGCAGAAATTGTCGACGTTGCACTATAATGTTTATCTGTTTGAGCATATAATGATGCATTCATCTTGGCAGGAGGTAATGATCCATTAATGTAATTGCCATTAGAAAATCCTCCTTCTTCTACATCTGGTAAATCAAATTCCTCTGGTGTTGGCACCAAACTACTGCTGCCTAAACGTGTACCATCAGCAAACATAAATTCCTCGTCTCCCGGGTAATCAATGAATCCATTACTGTCTGGATAATCATATTCAACTTGAATTGTATGACGTTTGACTGCAGCAGGTGTTTGCATGCTATCATTACGTGTCTTTGAATCCACCAAAAAGTCTGTCGTCAAGTAACTGTTACTGGGTACAGACATTGCTGTCGGGATATATGTTTCTGGTGGTGGTACATATGCTACTGGGTTAGCTGCGGCCTAACATAAGAGATAAATTGTGAATTATTTAAAACTAAAAATGATTTCTAAATTATTCAGTAGTACCTCTAATTCTTGTACAGTAAAATCGAAAATAGCCGAATAAGGTGCAAGCCACCTACCAAGATTAATTGTAAAAAATAATATATCAATTATTAGATACAATAACCATTAATAGTTAGTATATAGAATTTACAAACCGATGCGACATTATTGCTCTCATATCACATCTTTTAGCTGGATCAGGAACAAGCATTTTCCTTAATAAATCTCTTGCATCCGGACTCACGTAATCCGGAAATACAAGGGGTGTATTAATAATATATTTGTAAAGTAAATTAATATTATCCCCGTCAGGATTTAACGGATCATCGTCAAAAGGAAGATATCCCGATAACATGGCATACTAAAAAAAATATTTTTAGAAATAATGAGATATTAATTTTAGGTCAATATAATTTTCAGAGCTAGATTGAATCTCCATTTACCAATATAACGCCACAACTCCAAATATCCACGGCACTTCCAACATAAAGTCCCTCACTGATAACCAGCTCGGGGGCGGCATAACATGGGCTTCCACAAGAAGTTGCCATCAAATCATCTTTTGCACTATCAAATTGGTTGGCAAATCCAAAGTCTGTAATAATGATGTTACGATTTCTGTCCAGTAGCAAATTTTCCTGCAAAAAACCTTAATAAGCATTGTTTCGTTGCTAACACGTTTCATTATTGTTATTGGGGCTTACAAGTTTCAGATCACGATGTACAATATTTTTTTGATGTAGGTAATTGACACCACTGATCAACTGGGCAAAAAGTCGGCAGGCGTCTCGTTCCTTGAGATAACGATGCGCCAATATGTGATCAAAAAGTTCACCCCCTATATGTATGTATGTATGTATGTATAATTTGCATTTGGTTATGATTGATTATTTTACCAAAAATAAACAGTGATTTGTCTTGAACTTTTTTGAGAACGTTACCAGAGGCGTATTCAAGTATTATCCCGATATATTTCTCTGTCTCAAAGACATCATATAGCCGTACAATATTTGGATGCATAACATTCTTAATTGATATAAATAAATTAAGGGGTTATTATAGAAAATTTTATATATCGAAAACACAATGATAGTGGAAAGAATGGTAGTAGAAATTTTACCCTTAGGACACCAATTTCTCTCTCAATTTTTTGAAGTCTAGATTGGCTATCGACAGACTCTTTGCGGATTAGTTTTATTGCAACCTGTTCTCAATTGATGGGTAACGCGTAAAAGAAAAAAAAGAAAGAAGTTAACAATAATAAATGTTAATTAGAAGATTACGACGTTTATATTCACTAAAGAAAATTTCAATCTCCGTCACTATGCTACAATTCCACCACCATCTCACCTCCTCTCCGGTGTCTACATGCATCCCCAGTTTAACTTTGCCGAATTCACCTTCACCCAAAGTCTGTAGCAAAAGATACGGACCAAACATGTTGCCTCTACGCACTGAGCTCTGTGTCAGTTGTGGAGGTTGAGCGAGGTCTGGAGGTCTGTAGGGAATTGGTATTGGTGTCGACACAGGGCGTCCTCGGGAGGACTGTTGCTGTGCATTTTGGTTTTGTGGTGTGAATATAGTTGCGGCCATGCAGTGCTTTCGAAAACTGGGGATGCAAATGAGACAAAGGATAAAAAAAGTATAAATATGGGAAAATTCAAAAAAGGTAGGAAGAATATATTAATTGTTGTTTAGTGAAAAAAACAATGTTATCTGTTTTGTTGTTGGGAGTATAAAGGGATAATAAATAGTCTAATATATTCTGTGTCTGTGTGCACTTTAACGCTAATTTATTTACTTTTTAATGTGTGTTACGACATTACCTTATTTATTGAATAATCGTCTCTTTACGTTTTCCATCATCAACACTCTAACACTAATGCTGGTAGTGGAACCAACACTACGGTCTATTACATGTACATGCTAATTCCCCCCTGTCTTTTGGTCTACCACCACACGTTATAGTGATAATGTTGATGTTCGATTCAAAAAAGGGTTAATTGTGTTGTACATTTACATTATTGGAACGATAAATATGTGTGCCTAAAAATAGCATATAAATACGGACTAATTTAGGTGATTCCTATTCTAACTTCATAGAGATCACTATGGATAGATAAGTGTGATAGATCGATATTTTTAAATCGATTCATTAAAATTTAAAAATAAATATTTGATCAAAAAATAAAAATATACAAATATACTAATACAAATACTTTTTAGTCACTAGCACTAGTATTATTAGAGTTTTGCATTTTTCTCTTTTCCATCAATTCATTTATTCCTTCTTCTCTTGAAACCTTGGCAACATATCCAAGTTCATTTATCGCCTTTTCATTATTCAATCGATAATCATGATGAGAAAGATGCAAAGGTTCTCTGCTGAACCCATCGAAAACCCATGCGGTACCATATCCTAAGAATGGTATCCATTCCACCAACGTGAAAAAACCGAAAACCAAAGATCGCGGCGCTCGAATTATGTTAAATGGACGTGGCACTTTTTTCACATCATACGCAGCACCAACATACATCTCTATGAAATCCTCAATCTCCATATCGCCTTCGCGATCTTTGAACTCATAAATCAGCGATGGGATTTTTTCGGCTGTCATTGCGCAATATATTGATTCACACGCGTTTGTGATGTAGTGAATAGAGAGTGGACATGCAGTAGGGCAAATTTTCCAAATGGGATTTTTTTGTAGACGATATAACAGCGGTAGGAGCACATTATCATCTTTTCCCCATAACCAACCTAGTCGAAGAATAACCAAATTGTGAAGTTGCGAATCCCGAAGCAGGACCTCAGTTAAACATTTAGACTTAGAATATGGTGCCCAATCAGGTAATTCATCTACTGGAATATGATTGGCTATTTTTGCAGTGAATGAAGAAATGTGAACAAGACGTGGTGGATCAACGGCTGCCGGAAGTGATTTCAGAATGTCAGCTAGCAGTTGAGTTCCTTGGACATTTGTTCTTTCAAAATCTGCAAAAATTCCCCAAGGTTGGACCTAATAATAAATAATTCATCAAAAGTGAAGTGGCAATAGTAATCTATAATGCGATATAATAATTCGAAATTAATTCATTCAATAAACAGTTGAACCTCGATATAACGAAGGGAT